GGAACCGTCATGGCCGCCCTCCGTGGGGGGTTCGAGAGCGGGAGCTAGAGACTAATGCAGACCAAGGCGCTGGGGGGGATGAGGGGGGGAAGGGGGAGTGAGGGGAGAGGATGGAGAGGGAACTGAGAGACGAGAGAGAGGGAAAGGCACACGGACATGTCTGACTGTCGCAAATTCACCAAAGCAGTGCGATGATCAGCCAGGTCTGCCCTGCCGCCGACGTTTCGCAGGTAGGACAGGAGCCAGCGGCGTACCCTGCGGAGCGGCAGACGGCCAACTGTGGGCACGTTAGAGCCAGAGCCGAGTAGGCAGGAGGCTGCGCAGTCGCGGAGGGAGAGGGTTCTGCACGGGGACTGCAACCAGGTCCAAAAGCAGTCGGGGCAGAGCTGCACTTGCGCCGCTCCTACCACACGGTACCCTGCATGAGCACCTCGGTTCCAGCGGCATTGGCCTCGGAAGTGTGGTTGGCAGTTAACGCCGACGGAGAAAGTCTGCAGAAGCCCGGCAATAAACGGCCGGCGTGACTTGCCGGAAGGCCGCCGCCAGGTAAAGCCGCTGAGCCAATAAGGCCGAGCAACAACCGACAAGAAGAGAAGGAAAGGGACGGCCCGGCACGTAGCCAGGCAGTAGACGGCCGGCTTGCCGCCGAAAGGCCGCCGCCAGGTTAAGGAGAAAGCACCCAAAGAGAAGGAGCATGCGAGAGGAGCACTGCACCCACCCCCCCCAACACACGGGCACTCGCCCCGACCACCGCCGGAAGAGTATTGGGGAAGCCCGGCAGTAGATTGACGGCCGGCGTGACTTGCCGGAAGGCCGCCGCCAGGTAATACCGCTGAGCCAAGAAGGCCAAGCAACTAACCGAAAAAGAAGAGAGCGGAGTAGGACGGGCCGGCAAGTGGCCAGAGCCGTTGCCCACACGAGCCGGACAGGAGGCGGCAAGCGAGCCGTGCTCGCTAGAGCGCGAAAACCAAGGAAGGAAGAGTAACGGGAGTGGGCATTAGGTAGAAGACATCCGGCACGCCGGAAGGCCAGGTTAGGGAGAGATAGCAAGGAAATCGACGCGGCAAACGCCAAGAAAGAAGGAGTTTGCGAGGGTAGGGCAGAAGGCGGCTGGCACGTAGCCAGGACGCCCACCCAGGCGGCCGGCATGAAGGGCCGGAAAGCCGCTGCCTGGTTAGGAGATTAGTCAAGAAGGCTGCTGCCAGGTCAGGAGATTAGTCAAGAACAGGCGACAAACCGGCCGAGGAGCGGCAGGCACGTAGCCAGAGCCGCCACCCGCCCGGGCTGGGCAGAAGGGCGACAGGCGTGAGGCCGGGAAAGTGCCAGTGAGCGCTCCGGGAGAGGGAGGGGAGTGGCCCAGCAAGAGCCAAGCCGCGCCAGAGCACGTAAAGTAGACAGAAAAAAAGGCCAGACCAGGCAATAGACGGCCGGCATCCAGAGCCGGGACCGCCGCCAAAACGTAGCCAAGAAGCCGCATCGGACAGGGATAAGTGGCGAGCCTAGAACAGCCAAGAACCAGAAGAGAAACGGCCGGAACAGCAGCTACGCAGGACAAGACTCCAAAAGGCAAGAACCAGAAACCTGAACACCCAAGAAACGCAAACCCTCCCGCAGCCCTCAGAAAGCTCAAGGAAGCAATCGAAAACAGCTGGGCAGCAGGCAGAGCAATCAGGCACAAACGGCCAAAACCATGGGACGGTCGCACTAGCGGCTGCTCCGACCAGAGGAGGGGGTGCTCATCGGGAGGAACCTCCCTTAGTCCCGCCCCCGGGGTCCCCCAGCTCCGGCACTCCCCACAGCAGCAAGCACGCTAGGCCCGGGGGAACCTTTCAGAGTTTAGGGCCGCAAATCTCAAGGCATTCGAACTTCAAGGCTTCAATTCATGTACCTCAACTAATACTAGCGATCTTAATGCAACTTACGGTTTCTTCCTTAAAGGCCTGATTTTGGAAGGTCTGGGAAGTTTAAGGCAGCCTAGAACCCAGGCATCCAAGGTTTAGGTTGTCGGTCCATATACCCTAAACCCTCCTAGCGAATAATAGCAATAATGGCAGCCATATCACCATCTAAACTAAAATATGAATAAGAAGAATAAGACATAAGAATAGCAATAGTCCTACGCTTCAGGCCCAAAGCTACAGTGTGAGAAGGGGTCTCGCTAAATGTCTGGATGGTATGGTTGCGTGAGCAACCACGATTTGAACCTGTAACTGCCAGGTTGAGGGATGTAGCGTTTACGGTAACGGTACTTGGAGGTTCATGGGTAATTGTAAGTGGGGTTATAAGTCCCCTAATATGGGTTATAACTATAGTTGCCCTACTTATAACCCCACTTATAACTACCCATGAACCTCCAAGTAGAGGGACAGGAAGGAGGGAGCCTGTCTCGACAAGGCGCGGGCAGTGGAGGAATCCATTCGCATCCTCAAGACTAGCGCCTTCTTCCGGGACTGAGTGGGTGCAGCTTTGGGGTTTAGGGTTTAGGGTTTAGGGTTTAGGGTTTAGGGTTTAGGTGCAGCTTTGGGAAACCATGTCGCTTCCGTTTTCTATTGGGAGAAAAGCAGGAACTCGAAATTGAACTGCAGTATAATCATTCTTAGCATTGAAGTCAATATCTTCATGATTACGATTGCTTTCATCATTGTTACAATTACATACATCGATAGAAACTGACGTCATTAGTCTTTTGTTGTTGATGTTCTTATTGAAGTTGCTACTACTACTGCTACTGCTACTACTACTACTACTACTACTCCTACTACTTCTACTTCTACTTCTACTTCTACTTCTACTTCTGCTTCTACTTCTACTTCTACTTCTACTTCTACTTCTACTTCTACTTCTACTTCTACTTCTACTTCTACTTCTACTTCTACTTCTACTTCTACTTCTACTTCTGCTGCTACTTCTACTTCTACTTCTACTTCTAC